TGAAAACTATTCTGGAGGTTGGTCGCACAACAATGTGAACGTATTTAACACTACTGGGCTGTACACTTACAAATGGCTAAAATGGTAAATTCAATGTCTTGTGTTTTTTATGACAATCAAAATTAGAAAGAAAAAGAAATCGGTTAGTGTCAAGGCGAAAACAGATTTCATAAATGTTTTAGATTCCCAATTATTTTTTTTTGTTGCTAGTTTAATAGTGGGTTTATTTTATATTCATATTTATAGAAAGCGCATAAGTTGGGTTGTGTGGCAGATTTTTACTTTCACTCTTTTCTCATCTAAGACCCTAGTCTCAATTTCAAGCCAGACCCCTCACCTGGTGGCAGCCACCTAACGGGGCATCGCGGGGCACGGTTCTCCAGCAGTTGTGCTGACTTTGAAGGAAGGAGGAGGCACGGGTGGCCCAGGTTTCTGGGCTGAGTGAGGGAGAGTCATTCACGGTGGGGGGGGGGCTGGGGAAGGGAGGGGGCCGAGGAAGCCATACTTGCTGAGTGTCTAGTTTGTGCCAGGCTGTGCTCAGCATTGTGCAACCCTACTTCACTTAACCCTCGCCACGGCCGGAGTGGCTGGTGTCCGGGCCTCGCTCCTCCGAAAACGAATCAGGGGCGCCTGGGTGGCTCAGTCGGTTGAGCATCTGCCTTCAGCTCGGGTCATGATCTCAGAGTCCTGGGATCGAACCCCACATCGGGCTCCCTGCTCTTCTGGGAAGCCTGCTTCTCCCTCTCCTCCCCCTTTGTGCTCTCTCTTGCTATCTCTGTCACTATCTGTCTCTCTCAAATAAATAAATACAATCTTAAAAAAGAAAGAAAACGAATCAGAGCCTTCAGGGGCTTCGGCAGCCCCCTCAAGGTCACCCAGCTAGTAAGTGCTAAGAGCCTTGGAGCCAGGTTGTCCTTTCAACTATGCCAGTGGAGGACACAATGAGGTTGGAGATCAGCACAGGTACAGAGGATCAGGAGGCCACGGTGAGCATGCTTCTGACGCTCGGAGGGAGACCCTGCCTGCAGGTGAGGGGGTTGAGACGCAGGGACAGCCCAGACGCTGTGAGGAGATGAGCTTTCTGGGAGGGCTCCCGCTGAGAGGAGGGAGCCCCGAGGAAGCCTCACCGGGGGTGACTCAACGAAGGGGCCTGAGAAGGAGCATTCAGAGACAGGAGGAACGTCAGGAGAGGAAACAAAGGAGGAGAAGACTCGAAAGGACGGCGACGCCATCCCTCTCACCTGTCACATGAATGTCAGGGATGAGGCCGGAGAAGCAGCGGCTGCTTTGGCAATAACTCTGGCCGGCCCTGTCCTCTTTCCCCGATAACTGTCCCCAGACTTGCCAACTCCCAGCACAGCTCCTGTGTCGCGTGTGGGCTCTCGGTGCAGCGAATGGACGCGCCCCGGGAGGGCAGGGGCTACTGTGTGATTCTGGACCGCCGGCCCCTAGCACAATGCCCCCGCACAAAGTGAGTGCTCGATAATTACTTGTTGAAGGCCTGGCTGAAGCCAGCCCTGTGCCCTCCCTCCACCGGCAGGAAGTGCGCCCCCTCCCCTCCCCCCCCTCAGTGGGGGGGGCCCCCCCCCCCCCCGCCCCCAGGCTCTCTGCAGCACCAGGTGATTAGCGGGCAGAACTGCTTCGGCAGCATTGCAGAGTCTCAAAGGCTGCGTCTGACCTTGAGCCACCTTCCATTCTGCTTGGCTAAGCACTGAGTCATTTACTTGTTTTTGCTGCCTTTCAACCCTAGAGCAGTGGGTTTAGCACAAAGGAAGACATGAGGGTTGTTTTATTTGTGGGGAATCGATTTCCCTTAAATAAGAATTTAGCTGGTAGTCTGCACTGCACAGTGGGATGGTGGGGGGGGGGAAGCTGCGGGGGGGGGGGGCGGAACACGGTGGGGGCTTCTTGAGTCAATGCCCAGGAAACAATGAGCCTTTGGAAACAATGTTTTTCCCACAAACAGGGGCTGCCAGACAACCAGCAGGGCCTGGAAGTCAGGAGACTGGGTGAGTCCCAACTGGGGCACCGGCTGGCCATGGGGCCTTGGGCAAGTCACTCAACATGCTGTCACTTACCATTTACTCTTTCTGGGCAGCTCTCCTCACCTGCAAGATGTAGAGATGACCTCAACTCCCTCCAGTGCCCGAATGGGCACCCATTCTACCACGGGTGGCTGAGTGCTGCCAAGGCGCGTGGCGGTGGGGGACACCTCCAAGCAGAGACAGCCTCCTGGACCCATGACAGCCTCCCAGAGCATTTGTCCCTGGAGTGGGGCCCAGTAGCGCCCTGCAGTGGCACCTCCATGAGTATCCCTCTTGTTCCAGCCCTTGTGACACTGGCTGAGAAGCAGCTAAGACTGAGGTCCAGAGCATCGGCTTGGGGGTTCCACACATCTGAGTGCGTCTTCCTCCACCGGGTGCCTGACTACGAGCAAGTCACTAAACAACTCTGAGCCTCCGCCTCACCTGTCCCATGGGAGCCTTCTTACCTAAGGGGGCCTTGTGGTGACCACAGGAGAGAACTACAAAGAAAGTGCACTGTGCAGGGCCTGACACAGAATGAGAGCACACTAAACGTTAGCTATTATAATAGTAAATACTATTTGTGGCTCAGATCCATACATCAGGAATACCTCCAAAAACAAATTAGAGATTATAAAGACCCTAGAGATTTTCCCAAGGCCCTGGTGGTAGATATGAGGAAACAGATCTGTGGGGAGAGAAGAGACTCACCCTAAGATCCACAGGCAGAAATGGGACCATGAGTCCTGCCTGATTCCTCTATGGGGTGGATCATTGCGCTCTCTCCTCAGCTCCTACGAGGGCCCTGCTGGGGCAGATGCCAACCCGTGGCACCCTCAAGCGGTGGGAACTCTGATGTCTGACTCACCACGGTTCCTGCCCCCAACACGGCCCTCCCTGGAACAGAAGTGTTACCCAGGGGGCTTGGTCCACAGCAGGCATTCAGTAGAGCCCTAGGCAGGATTTGACCCAGGCCACCTACCCCTTCAAGGTCTGTTTCCTTAAATGGGAAAAAAAGGTCTTTTGGAGCCTCGAAGTCCTGACATGCCACGGTTTCAAGAACTGGGCTTAATTAACCACAAGCACATGGCTGGAAAGTTCAGCTAGCCGGAACCTTCCCCAGAAGTACCTTCCTTGGGAGAACGGGCGGAGCCCAAGAAAGCCTAGTCACCCACTGCCCTAGCACAGGTCTTCCCAGCTTATGGCCCACTAGGGTCCACGCTGTCTTACTAGCTGCGTCCCTGCTCTACAGACAAGCAGCCCGAGACTTGCCCAGTCAGGACCAGGGCTCAGAATGAAGGAGGATCTAGAATAGTGTTGTGCACGGAGCATGCACTCCATAACCACCCACCAACATGAAACACAAGCCCACACAAAGTGGTTTTGCCAAGGAGGGAGCCCTGGACCGGGAGCCTGGAGGCCAGGGACTGAGCCCGTGCTCTCCCCTGTCTCTCACTGGTTGGGCCTCCTGCTCTGGCTGTAAAAGGTGGTCACTGGATGGCGGGGTCCCCTCCCTGCTGAGACCTCGCAGCTCCCCGCCCTCCTCAGGGCACCCAGCAGGCTGGGCTGGGGTCTGTGTACGGCCTGCCCTCCAACCCTAGAAGAAAGCGACTCTGCCATTATTCGTCACCCTATCTTCCCAAGCCCACCCCAGACCTAAGCAGAATAGGTTTCTGGAAAAAGGCGGGAGGGAGGGAGGGTGGGAGGAAGGGGTCTGACGTCCCTCCGGAACTAACGTTCCACATGCCCACAAAGCTAGGTTCTAAGGCAAGTCACCGCAAGTGTCTATTAGGTAGGACCTCGCTGATGGTGAAAACACCACAGGGGAAGGAAAGGCAATGAACTTCAGAGTTAACCCCTTTCGGCCCAGGCCCAGTTAACTTCCCAAAGCACAGGCCTGTGGGTCCGTGTGTGTGAAGGCCGCCAGGCTGTGGGATGTGGGGAGTCTGCCTGCCCCGTGGGACCCTCAGTGATGCTGGTGTCGGAGGCCATGACGCACTTCCATCTGCAGAGTTCATCAGTTATATGTCAGTGCTTTCCAGCCCAGAGCCTACAGTTCCAGTGCAGGAACACAATGTAGCAGGATTCCAAAGGATTCAGGAACAGAGAGGGGATCTTATAAATAACTCCTGGTTAAAACAGAGCTGAAAATAAGGACACAGGAGAGGAAACAGATTGCGAAGCGCAGGTTGAGTCAATACCATTGGCTTGAAAACCTTCGTGCAAATGGCTGGTCCTTCTCATCGGAAGATCACACACAGGATTGGACCTGGAGGCGCCAAGACTGTGTGTGTGCCTGAAGATGTGGGTGAAAGCGCGAGGCTCCCATCACACGGTGTCGAGATGATGATGCTAAGAGACACGGGGCTTGCAGTAGATCTCACGGCGTCACTTAAGGGACTCAAATCAGTTGGAGTGACCGTGGTTAAGACCCTGGACCTCCCTGAGCCACTCTGTCTTCACAGGAGGGTCTGGCTGCTGGGTTGATCTGTAAGCTCTGAGATTCTAGATAGCAATTCACAGCTGGGGCCGCGGTATAAAACCCTGGAAGCCAAAAGTCGGAATTAAATCTTGACCGTGCTCACAGTTCCGGTCTCCCTCGTTTCCGTTCTGGAGGGCCTTCCTTTAGCTGCACCAAGGCCACTACAGTGTGTGCTCTCCCCAATGCTAAAATTGAGTGCAAATGTGCTTTATTCACTTGCAATCCCTCAAGGCCCCTGATCTTGGGGCGTGGCTCAGCAGCATGCTACCCGTGGGCAGGGCGGGGATACGCCCCCCCCCCCCCCCCCACCCCGCGGAGGCCAGAGAGCCTAGCACACAGCCGGCTCTGCCCCGGGGGCCCCCAGTCCTGCCTCCTGGCCCACACCACCCACGCAGGAAGCTGAACGCCCGAGGTAGTGACAGCCTGAACGCCAGCCACCGCCCCCCCCCCGCCCTCACCCCGCCCGGCGCAGGAAGGAGAGGAGGAGCGGGGTCCTGCTCGCCGCGGGGGCCGGCCAGCCCGCGCCACCCTCAGCAGCAGTTGCAGGCGCCCGTGTGCACGCGCAGGATGCCCCGGCTGTGCAGGTGCAGGAAGTTAAATATCTCGGAGGGCATGGCGTGGAAGCCAGGACGGGGCTTGACGTTGTCATAGTAGTGGTGGGTGATGTAGAGGCCCGAGGGGTTCATGGGGAAGGCCCAGAAGCCGAACAGGTGCACCTCCTCGCAGAGCTCTAGCGCCGCCGTGGCCAGGATGAGGCCGGTGCTGATGCGCTTGGCGCGCACCCCCAGGCTGAGCCAGTAGCGCGACACGTTGACCAGGTACTGCGGGTGGAAGTAGTACACGGCCTGCGGCGACTCAAAGTCATCCAGCACGTACTTGACGCGGATGGACACGTCGGTGTTGCGCGTGTTGTAGAAGGCGGGCAGCAGCACCGACGCGTTCTCGTACACCTGCAGCACCCGATAGAAGGGCCGCCGCCACTTCTCCAACTTGTGGAACCTGGGCGGGGCCAGAGCAAGACGGTCGGCAGCCCACTCTCCAGGCCATGTGCCCCCCGGAGCCACCTGCCGCCCCCACCGGCCACCCGCCACCCCGGGGCCTCTTCGGAGCACGCAGGGCACTCCAGGCCACCCTGCTGCTCCCTTTCATTTCCTTCGCCTCCGAAGATGAATGCCCTGCCTTTCTCCGGACGGCTATATTTGTGTAAGTGGACCCAAAGGGACAATGGAGGGACTGCCGTGCTTCACCCCAAGGGATGAGGGCATCCCAGGGTGGACTCGGTGGGGCAGGGGTGAGGAAGTGGAGGCTTTCCCTGGAGTCCTCAGGCCATTCACCTGTGCTTTCTCTCCCAAGGTCCCCAGTGAAGTTCACCAAATGAGTCTGCCTGTCCTCTCGGCCGCTCCTCCCCCACAGTCCCTCCCTGCCCTTCTTCCTCACATTAAAGGGCCCTCCCGTGGGCTCATCTCCCTCCTCTCCCCTAATCCTTCACTGCGCTGACTCTGTAAGTGTCCTTGGGCACCTCACCTGATTTACCGACTCCCCACCCTCTGGTCTCTGGCTGTCCCCCGTCTTGCCCCTAGCCTGACCTGGATGGTGTGACTGTGCCCCTGGCTGGAGTTTTAACCCCTGAACCCCCTTCCCTGAGGCCTCCCACATGCACAGACCCCAGGAAGGGCACTCAGTGGGGACTGAGATCTTTGTGTGAGGCTTCTCCCCAGAGCCACCTGGACACAGGAGCATAGGAAGCTGCCTGCCCCCATCACACACTGGAAAGCTTTATGGCCCATCTAGGTGAAGACTGTCCCGACCAGTGCTGTCCAAGGGAACTATCATGTAGGCCACATATGTAATTTTCAATGTCCTAATGATCACATTTAGATAAGCAGAAAGACATGGGTGAAATTTATTTTTATATTCTATTGAATGCTCACAATGTTTTATTTAACTTGATATACCCAAAATACTACTATTTCAACATGTAATCAACATAAACAATTGATGAGCTGTGGCCCATCGTCTTTTTCATGGTAAATCTTTGGAATCAGGTGTGTGTCTCCCGCTACAGACAGCACCTGTCAATCTGGATGCCGCATTCCCCATGGCCAGTAGCCACGTGTAGCAGTCAGGGCTGCTCTCCTGGATAGCATGAGTCTAGGGGAGGCTCACTGACCTCTCTGTGATGATGCTGGGGTTCACAGTGACCACATCTGTCTTCACGCCCACATCCATGGTATACTTCTCTGAGATGGGGGGTAGGTTGCACCTGTGGAAGACACAAGGCAGCCTGGCTGCATGTACTCACTCATTCCAGAGGGAGCTGGAGAGTGGGCAGCGCGAGGGTGTGGGGAAAGGAAGACGGTGCTCACACGCAGAAGGGTGCCGAGGCAGCCAGCGGGGTGGAACCTTGGTAGCCTGTGCACAGAGGGGCAAGTTCAATTCCTTCCCTCTCCCACACTGAGTGGCACAGTGATTATGGATCCATGACCCATGAGACCCCACTACAGCCTCAACCCCAATCCCTTTGCTTTAAGCTTTTATTTTCAACCCATTTTCTTGATCCAGGCTAAAGACTGTAAGTGAGGATCACCAAAGAGATAAGAGGGGGCTCTATCCAAGGAAGAAGAAATACAAGGGCCAGTCTCCAGCTTAAAGCCAGGGCAAAGCCAACACTGGTGTCAGCCACAAGGTTGCCCTGGTTCCAAACACTGCTTCTGGAAGAGAACTCAACCACGGAGGAGGCCGCAACCTCCCATTCCGCAGATGTGGAGACTTGAGGCCCTGACAGGTTTGGCCACTGGCCCCGAAGGACAGGGCTGGAGAAGGGAACAAGCCAGAGTGTAAAGGTGTGCAGGGGTGGGGAGTGGGGACCGGTCACCTGAAGGGCAGCATTAGGACACAGGGCATTAGGGCATGGGGCTGGGGCACCCCCGGAGGGAAGGGCAGGGAGTGGGAGGGCTGTGGGGGGTAGAAGCAGCAGGTGCAGGGCCGGGGCTGTTCTTTTACCGGAAGACAAAGTCGGCACTGTTGATCTCCCTCCCACAGCGGCTGTTCTTTAGGATGCCTCCGTTGCCCACCACTGCACACTTCTTAAACTGGGACCGGTAGTAGGGCATGTCCTGGGGGAGACGGGCACACAGCTGTCAGGGGCAACGCCCTCCCTGCCTTCTTCCGCTGCCCTCACCCCTGTACCGACGGCCACCTCTCCGAGCCAGCCTGGCAGGGACTGTGGGGGGAAAGTGGTTATTCCACCTTGCAGATGAGAAGAGCGGTCAGGAGACTTGTTCTCAGTCCCCCTGGCAATTACGAAAGCTGGAAGAGAAGCCGGGTCTCCACAGCCTTTTTCGACAAGCCCTGGGATGCCTCAGGTTTCCTGAAAGAAGGGAGTACAGGTGATGGCCAGTCCTGCTTGCTTTTGGTTTTCCCAGTGTTTGGAAGCTCATTTTCTTTATGACTTCCAGGATGCGTAGGCTACTGGTTCGTGCAGATGTGCTGGGGGGTGACAGCAGCAGAGACGGGGACAGGGCCCTAAACCTGGCCCTCCCCCCTTTCAGCTCAGGGCAAGGTACACAGGGAGGACGTAGGCCTGGGACACCAAGGTCATACGGCCTGGAACAGATGCTGGGACTTGGAAACAGCAGAACAAGAGACCAAGGGTTGAGAAGCAAGGCCACCACAGGGGAGCAGTGAGAGCCTGAAACACCTCAGATCTCTGCAGAGGAAGGGCTCGGAGTACAGGAGAACCCGGGTCTCACCCCCCCAGCGACAGTGGCCCTTGTAGGAGCCCTGGGCGTGACCACCTCACAGCACCTTGACCTTGTCACGCCCTGACTGCTGGGCTTACATCGGTCTGGGCGCCGGCTGCCCACAAAGGTTCCCTGGCCATGCCCTCCAGGGGACCCCAGGCAAGCGCTGGCTGGCCTGAGGGGTTAAGAGTCCTGGTCCTGCCATATCCCTGCTCTAGGTCATAATCCCCCCCTGGGCAGCCGGGGGCAGACGGAGCCCAGCAGCCACAAGCACGGCACAGGCAGAAGCACAGACCTGGAGTCAAGGGTAGGGGGACCAACCACCCCAGCTGGCCCAGGACTGGGGAGCTTTGCCTACGATGCAGGACTTTGCTTGGGTCCACCCAGGAGAGTCTGAGGCCAACCAGGATTGGGCGCCTGAGGCAAAAGCCCCAAGCTCAGCCCTGGTTTTGCCCCATCATGAGATGAAGGAACCATGGACTGGTGTTCTGAGTTCTCAGCAACTCAGTTTTCCCACCTGCAAAATTCGGATAATAACATGCGAGTGTCATGCTTTTCAACGCGATGATGCAGAGCAGAGTTTCTCAACTTGGCGCTTGTTGACATTTTGGACCAGACCATTCCTCATTGTGGGGGGCTGACCCATGCGCTGCAGAACGTTTAGCAGCAGCATCCCGTCGCCTCTCCCCACTAGACGACAAGGATATCACGACGACCAAAATGTTTCCAAACATTGCCAGAGGTCCCCATGGTTAAGAACCACTGGTGTAAACGAAAAGCCTACCCAATGTGGTGCTTGACCCACGGGTATCTCTGCACGGGGACCAGGTTCTTATTACTGTCATGAGGCCCCAAAGCTCCCCCCGGGGGCCCACAAGCCTGCGGGGCTCCCCTCCTAGCACACAGCAGCTGGCCAGCCCTGAATGATCATGGCCCTGGTGGCACCTTGGGCTTCTGGTGGGGCCCACCACCAGGTGGCGTCATAGAAAATCACACCACAGCGGACCCTCAGGAAGGAGGCTAGATCTGCAGGAGGCGCTGCGTCTGTCTGTGGGAAGCTGTCCCTCAAGGCCCATTTTCCCTGGAGGGATGGGCCCAGAGGCCACGGAGGTGGGGGGGGGGGGGGGGGGGGGGGGAAAGGGTATCTCAGAGCCAGTGGGGAAAACGGCACTGCTTGACTTCTACCAGGGAAAGGAAAAAAACAAAGTTATCTTTGGAGAGAGGGAGGCCTTTATGTTCTATGTCAGTGTTTCCCAAACTTCTGTACATCAAAAACAACCTGGAGTACTTTCTGAAAATAGAAATTCCTGGGCTCCATCCCAGAACCATGGAATCAGAATCTCTAGGGTGGGGGTAGGAGACCAAGAAGCTGTATTTTGTACAAACCCGAAGAAAGACTTACCCTGAGGCAATACTTTACGTCACAGGATCTGATTGGGGGGAGGGGGTGGCTCATTACGGCCTCGGGCCACATCAGACCTGCCCGGTTCTGTATACTGCCCCCACCCCCACCCCCTCCGACCGAGCTAAGCATGGATTTTATCTTTGTAAATCGTTGGGGGGAAAATCAAAAGAAGAACATTTTGTGACATGTAAAAATTAGGTGCAGTTCACATTTCAGTGCCTAACAGGAACTAGAGCGTCCCGGAGCCCAGCCACCCTCACAGGCTCACGGAGGTCTGTGGCCGCTTTGTGCTGGCACCATAAAGGTAAACAGCTATGACAGAGACCATATGGCCTGCAAAACTTAAAATGTTTACTCTCTGGCCCTTCCCAGGGAACATTTGGCAACCCTGCTCTAACTCCCTGGGCCTCGGCAGTCCAAACCCATGGCCCTCCGTGGACCCATATGTCATAACCGAGCTGTGCGTCACCCACTGGCACGACCCACACGAGATGCAAATCCACCTGCTGTCCCCAGCTTCCTGTTCCGGGCCTTGCAAGACCCACCTCGAAGTTGGCTTGTATCCATCATCCTCCAGCGCTGTGATGGGGGAGAGTCTGTGTGACCCTCTGTGCAAGCACCAGAACGCAGGGAGCCCTCCTGTGGAAGCAGGGCAGCCCAGACCCTCGGATTTCATCCAGAAAGACCTGAACACGCCCCCATTCAGCATGTCTACACACTGGACCCACTAAGTCCTGCTCTGGACCCAGCAATCTCCAGGAGGTGCTTATGCACACATCCAGTGAAATCTTCCTCCTCTTTAGATGATAACCATCAGAATGAGCTGAAAATGCAGGTTCCAGGGCCCCTTCTCTGAGAGTCTGATGCCGCTATCAGGCCACAGGTGAGTGCATATCATATGCCCAGCCTTCAGTGACCTGAGCCGTCAAGCAGGGGGATCACTTACCCTGAGTTCCCCCTGGTGGCCAGGGAGCCACTGTGCTAGTCCTGAAGAACAACCTACCTCCAGACTTCTTTTATGTAAAGGAGAACAATTAACATCTAACTTGTTTAAGTGAGATTTTCTGTTATGAGCAGCCACACCTATTCCTAGCCCAAACTCCAGTGTTACGGACAGGGAGACTGAGGCCTTGGAAGACATCATAACCATCCAAGGTCAGCCAACGTGAGATCAGTCTTTCTCGCTTTGCTTTCTACTGGTTTGTGATTTCTTGGGCACACAACCTTTGCATGAACGTTTTTTGCTCCTGCGCCTGCCTCCAGTGGGAGACTTAATCACTGTCCCAGGTGTCTTCAGGATGTCCTCGGCAAGCAACGCAATAACCAAAATTTGATAAGCAAAGTCCCTCAAAGAGTAGCCAGTTGGCATTCACCGGGCCCAGACAGGAGCCCTGGAAGACAGTCTACTGAGCCAACCAGAGCCAGGACGGTGGATGCGGAGGGCGTAGCAGAGGGATGCCACACCCCGCAGGCAGGGCCGCATAGGGCCATGTGGGGTCGCCCCTTTGCCCCGCCCAGACTGCCCTGCCCAAAGCAGCACCTTGGGAAACATGCGGAAGATTTCCTGGTTGATGTGGTAGATGCCGCTGGTGTCCACTTCATACTTGAGCTTCGTCCCCAGGGGGGTGTTCTTCTGGGTGGTGAAGAGGAAGGAAGGGGCATTGCAGCACCTGGACAGAGTGGACCTGCCAGGTAGGAGACAGAGCGGGAGAGACAGGTGACATGGGGCAGAGCCAAGCTGCTGGAAGAACAGGGGGGTCATGGAACTGAGGCTCCTCAAGGTGATCAGGGAGCTCCGTGCTCTCCTACCCCTTCCCGCACTCACCCCCCACCCCACACCCCTGCTCATGCTGTTCCTCTGCCTTCAACACGCCTCCCAGTGCCTGGGCCTTTCCTCCTTTCCTCACGCTGTCCTTGATCCCCGTGAGCTCCCAGCTGCCCACCCCACGGACCTCGCTGGCCTCTGAAGACCTGGAGCACAGACTGGATACCCTCCACTTCATCACCTACCGACTCCCTCCCCGCCTAAATGAAAGCCCCTTGATGGCAGGGACCCTGCCTCTCTGGATCCTGCCCGGTGTTAGTCACACAAGTGTGGAGAGCCAGCTGCCGGCCATGGTGGGATGAATCACGCCTCACCCGGGCGCTCATCAAGATCCACTAAGCATTCTACTACTTCCTGGAAACAATTGTTTCTCCAGCCTTGATGGAAATCTGGGGATAGAGAGCTCATCCTTGGGTTCCTGGCCCCTATCAGACTATAAACAAGGCATTTACCCTGTCTCGGGGGGGAAAACCCCAAGACAAAATGGTCAATGGAAGCATGCAATTTCAATCATTTAGAAAGTGTTTTAGGAAGAGGGATTGTCAGAAAGTGGGCTGGTGGGCTGGTGCTGGACCACTTCCTGCAGAAAAAGGAGTCTGACTGATTTCCAAAATAGGTTCTCAGGAGTTCATTGTTTTTAAAAAAAAAAGCCCTGGCTTTCACTCACCAAAAAAAAAACAAAAAAAAAACCACTCAAACACAAGCTACAGAAGGGTTAAAGCTCAGATGATGCAAGCAGGCTTTACAAAAATAAAAAATAAAAAAATAAACCCTCCTAGGGAGAAGGTAGCTGCTGAGGCAGCCCTGGGAGCCGGCCAGGCCGGAGACGGCAGAGATGTCCGTCATCCCTCGGGTCGGAGCTAGTGCTCCACCTGGTCACTCCCTCTCTGAGGCCTGGTGAGGGGTCGGGCCCTGGGACCTGTCCTCCCGTGCCCTGGGGGCCCAAAGCCCTCCACAGCTAACAAAGCAGGCCAACTTCTGCTCTCTCACATGGGGGTTTTGAGCCCACAAGGCTCCATTTCTTCCAGAAGCAGCAGTGGGTGCCAACTCCACACTGGCCTGCTCCCCCCAACACTGGCTCCAGGCACAGTCCCATGCAGCACCTAGGCAGCCCCAGGAGGGATGGGACACCTTCTCCATGGAGCCAGGATGATGACCACCACCAACGTTTGAAGAGGAGCTTTCTGGAAAATTCCCCTCCAAGGTCTGGGATGGAAACTTGGGGTAGCCACCCTGGTGTCAAGAGGCTTGGGTTCTAGTTTCTGGTCTGCTCCCACCAGCGGTGGGGCCCTGGTCAGGTGTTTTCCCTAGGCTGGACCTCAGCTCCCTTGTCTGTAGAACGCAGCCTTGGCTGGTCCACCCCTGACCCTCGGTAATTCTGTGACTGTAGGTTGCCAAAGCCAGGAAGGTTATAAAATTATTTTTTATGACTTTCTCTCTTGCAAGGATTTCACTGGGGTGCTCAGCTGACCGCTGGTCACAGAGAGAGGCCTTTCCTGTGGAGTGTTGAGTTTCAGAATGTGACTAAGGCCTCCCAGAGTGGGGGTCAGGCAGAGGCCATGGGTCAGCATTGGCCCATTTAGCTTTGCTGGTCCAGGAACTCAATCTTGTCAGCCTGCTGGAGAATACTCCATAGAGGGAGACTGACTCCCATTAACCAAGTTCACGAATGACTGATACATAAACCAGAATGCCAATGTGTCTATTTGTAGGCGGTAGGATGGGGGAAGGCCTCAGTTACAGGGCCCCTCTCCTACAACTGGAAAGCTCATGTCTGTCTTCTAACACACCCCTTCCATGCCACCCACTTCACCGTGCCAGGCTCTTACAAGCCTGAATTAAGAATCTCATCACGGTTCAATGAGCTTGTGACGAGAGCAAAGGGAGGCCACCCAGTAGCCTTGAAGGTTTATCCATTTAGAACCTAGCAAGACCTGATGTCATCTCCCTTTTCCACACCTGAAACTACTCCCCCCCACCGCCCCGCCCCTGGAAGGGTCCCGGCTTCCCCGGAGCCTCTCCCCAGAATAGTTCCGGCTGATCCCTGCTGAAGGCCCCCACATTCATCCTTGGTTTTCTTCTGCCACCTCATCTTCCTGTTGCTTCCTTATTTCCTTAAATTTATTTGTGCATCCCAGTGAGGAGACTTCTGGGCTGCTCTCAGCCCAGACAATATCCTTTTGCATCCCATGGACCTCATCTAGGCTGGGTGTGGATGAGCCACACCACCAGGACGCTCAGGCCTCGGCCACTCCACCATAACACCTCTTGCTAAAAGGCAGATTTGGGATGGCACCTGCCGCATAGATCTTGGCCCTCTTCCCGCCTCCCAGCACTCTGCTCAAGTTCACGTTCGACTTTTATGATGGGGGCATGTGTGGCCTTAGCCGGGAATCCGCAGTCTCATCGGGGCCTCTGGGTCGGGGCTGCTGGCACCTGCTCTTCAGGGGTTACCATGGTAGACATCCTCATTTCTAGAAATGTGCCACTTAAAACCACGACTCGGTCTCTAGATGGGGCCCGGAACTGCACCAAACTGGAACAAATGACTTCGAAGGAGAAGACAAAATGCTGAGTGTCATTTGCTTTCCACAGCCTCCCAGGCAGGATGGCCGCGTCTGATGGCTCCTTGGTACATATGAACTCCAGCCTGACTTGCCCACCTCCGGTTCATGCACATATTCCTAGAATCCCACCGATTCCACTCCGTGAGCTCCATCTGCACCACAACAATACTGGGAACTCACAGGAGTTCAGCGATGGAGAGACCCCCCTACAGTTCCCACCCATCAAAAGGAATTTGTGGACACCTGCTGACTGCTTAGCTCTCGCAGACAGGGGAACCTGAAGCTATGGCTCTTGCCTCTCTGGGAGCTTATAACCTATCAGTTTGGGTGAGAAAGCAATCATAGATGAATCTGCAGCAGGCCTCACGCTTCTGGTGCAGGCTGCCCCACGAGGGGGTGGCAACGGGGGGGCGGCCAGAGGAGATGCTTAGCGCGCCTTCTCGCTCAGGCCTGCTGGCTCGCTCAGGCCTGCTGGAGATGTGGAGCCCAGCACGGCACCGTGACGGGCTGTCATGGAGACGACACCCCTGACCCCGCGGGGCTGCCACGAGGACGAAGGGCCGGAATGTGGGGGACAGCCGCCAGCAAGGTGCCCCCCTCAGCCTGTGCACTGAGTCAGAACCTCCCCACGGCCCAGATCCCAAAGCCCAGGTGGGGCCAGCTCTGGGGAAGATGAGCCCGGGGCAGGGCCCTGCGGGACGGGGTGGCAGGAAGGAGAACAGCACCAAAGGCAGGGCTGGGGAGGGCAGACAAATCACAGATACTTGAACTGGTTGGCTTCAGAGATATTCATCGCCCATCGGCACATCTGCAGGCTCTTCCATCTGTCAAACAGCTCCGACTGCTTCACCCTTTGGGAGGGGAGGACAGGAGAGCACGTGAAAGGGGCCAGGCTGGACAGAGTTGTAGGCATTCCCAAACCTCCCTTTCTGCTCCCCAGGTGCCACATCCTGGGGTGGTCCTTTCCATGAACGGTGTTTTCTTATTTGGGGCATTCTGGATGCTCTGGCGTCTGGGGCCTTGCTCATTCCTAGAGATAGCCAACTGCTCTCCTGCAAGCATGCCTTCCACCTTCCTCATCGTCAGTTCTGTCAACTGAGCCACCAGCCTTAAGGGAACTCAGGAACGCTCCGAATTATAGACAAAATCCCCTGTCTGTCCGCCCATGTGCATATCTTAGGGGAGAATCTGAAGCTTTCATTGGCTTCTCAAAGAGGTCTTTGATTCTAAAAACAGGGCAAATACTCACTTAACCTTAAAGTAAAAACCAGGTTCATTCTGCAGAGCTGGGTCCCCTGTGTTTTGTTGGAGGGGAAACAGTTGCTCCCAAAGAGGGCAAGCCTCCCCCACAGAAGGAACGCACACATGACTGATGTGGGGAGGGGTGATTGCTGGAGAGGTCATACAGGATGGCAGCAAAGTGTGTAGATTTTGGAGCCAGAAGAGGAGCTGGGCCCTGGACCGAGTTCAGACACCTCCTAACTAAGGGACTTCAGACAGGGTATTTGACCTCTCGGAGCTTCATCTATATAATGAGCATAATAATAGATTATCACTCACGGTCCCAGATTTGTTAAGATTATTAAATAAAATGATAAAATAAAGGGCTAGGCATGGGAAGTGCACACGGAAAGTTCCTGAGAGAGGTAAGTTATTTTTATGGTTAAACTGCACTACCATGAGGATGCTCGCTCACGATCCCCTGACTTTTCCCTTTTGTAAAACCCATAACCTGTCCTTGCTCACTCCTAATTTTTCCCACAAGATAGTAAATACTGTGGGGTCAGGGGGTCATGCCTGAGGTCACCCCCATAAATCCAGTGCTAAGGCCCATGGCCAATGTGTGGGAAATGGGTGTTGAGCATATCAATAAATTAGTGAATGAACCCATAAGTCTGAGTTCAAATAGAGTCTATAATTATTGATTGAACTCCCCTATATGGCAGGAACTGGGGATAGAGCAGAGAACAAAAGAGCTTGCTGTTCCTATGGAGCTTAAATACTAGTAAGGAGGCAAATGGAAAACAGATATGTATGCATATGACAACAAAAGCACAAATGACAAAAGCAAAAATAGACAAGTGGGACCATGTCAAACTACAAAGCTTCTGTATAGCAAAGGACCACAACAGAGAGAAAAGTCAACATACAGAACGGGAGAAAGTATTTGCAGACCATATATCTGATAAGGGGTTAAAATCCAAAATAGATAAGGAATTCCTACAACTCAACAGCGGAAGACCAAATAACCTGATTTTAAAACGGGCAGAAGTGGGGCACCTGGGTGGCTCAGTCAGTTAAGCATCTGCCTTTGGCTCAGGTCATGATCCCGGGGTCCTGGGACTGAGCCCCGCATCAGGTAGTCTGCTTCTCTCTGTCCCTCTGCCCCCCACACCGCTCGTGCGCTCTCTCCTCTCTCTCAAATAAATAAATAAAATCTTTTATAAAAATTAAACAAAGCAAAATAAAATGGGCAGAAGACTTGACAGACATTTCTCCAAAGAATACATCTAGATGGCCAACAGGCACATGAAAAGGCACTCAACATCACTTATCATCAGGGAAAAGCAAATTGAAACTACAACGAGATATCATCTCACACCTGTTAGGATGGCTAAAATCAAGAAAACAAAAAAGATCACCAGCGTTGGCGGGGATGTGGAAAAAAGGGAAGCCTGGCACAGTGCTGGTAGGAATGCACACTGGCGTGGCCAGCATGGAAAACAGCATGGAGGTTCCTCCAAAAATTAAAAATAGAACTACCCTATGATCCAGCAACTCCACTTCTGGGTATATATCCAAAAGAACTGCCATCAGGATGGGAAAAGAACTAGGTGCACTCCCATGTTCACTGCGGCATTATTCAGTAGTAAGCAGGGTATGGAAACCAGCTAAATGTCCCCTGATGAGTGAATGGATAAAGAAAATGTGCTACAGATGTACAATGGAATACTCTTCAGCCTCTCACCAGAAGGAAATCTGCCATAGGTGACAAGCTGGATGAATCTGGAGGACATTGTACTGCGTGAAATAAGGCGGTCATGGAAGGATGCACACAACATGATTCCACTCACGAAGCATCTAAACAGTCGATCTCAGAGAAACAGAGAGTAGAATGGTGGTTGTTGGAGGCTTTAGGAAAGAGAAAGGGGGAGCTCCTGGCTGCTCCACGATCTACTTATTCTAATGAATAAGTGCTAGAGATCCGTTGTACAACTTAGTGCGACATTTAACAATACTGGATTGTACGCTTAAGAGGGCAGATCTCGTGTCAAGTGTTATTAGCCCAACTAAGAAAAAGAAAACAGATAATAATGCCATGTCAGGGAGAGGTGAGTGCTATGAAGAAAAATGAAGCAAGGTAAAGGAACTAAAAAGTGACTGTTTCAGAAGGGTTGGTCAGGGAAGGCTTCCCTGAAGAGGAGAACTTTGTACAAAGAACTGGAATGGTTGGAGTGAGCCATGTAAACGCCTGGGGAAGGAGTATTCCAGGCAAAGAGAAAAGTGAGTACAAAGGCACTGGGGCAGGAACTTAGTTGGCAGGTTTAAGGAGCTGGAAGGAACCCCTCCTCCCAAGCTGATGCCTTCCTTCTGGCTTCCCCAAACCTCCCACTGTAGCCCTCCCCTCTCAGGTTAATGTGACATCTGAAGAGAGGCATTACACAGCACCCCCCGCCTCACCCACTGCTTCCCTCCCCTGCTCTCTGCAACCCATAGGCCCCTAGAACAGCACCCGACATGGCCAGTGCCTCAGACACCTCCTGGAAACACAGTCCTCGCAGGACTGCAGGCCGGAGTCCCAAGTCCAACTGTCACCAGCATCTGGGTCCCATTCTCTGTGCCAATGCCTGTCACGCGCTGGACAAAAGCTGGGGCCCGAACACCCAATCTTGAATCCTGGCTCCATCCCCAACTTGCAGTGGACAAGTCACTGAATCTCTCTGAGACTTGGGTGCTTTATCTGTACAACGGATATAATAACCTCTGCTCTGTTAATCTCCAGGGTTGTCAGAAAGATCAAATGAGATAATATGCATAAAAATACTTTATAAATTGCTTTACAAATGTAGAGATCACTTTTACTTTAAAGATGAGGGGTTGAGCTGGGGCACCTGGGTGGCTCAGTTGGTTAAGCGACGGCCTTCGGCTCAGGTCATGATCCTGGAGTCCCGGGATCGAGTCCCGGGATTGAGTCCTGCATCGGGCTCCCTGCTCAGCGGGGAGTCTGCTTCTCCCTCTGACCCTCCCCCCTCTCATGTGCTCTCTCTCTCTCTCATTCTCGCTCTCTCAAATGAATGAATGAATGAATAAATGAATGAATAAATAAATAAATAAATAAAATCTTTAAAGATGAGGTGTTGACCCCAGGCTCTGATCTCCTTTCTCTGCAGACACCACTAAAATTCCAGAGGAGGAATAAAAAAGTTAATAGACTTACCAGATGAATAGAATGATGGCGGTGGGGAGAGTTCAGTGGAAGAGAGATTTCGACAAGTGTGTGGAAGGAGGGGGGTCATATGGAGGGATGACATGGCCCAGAGACAGAGTCCAACCCCACGGGACATTTTTAAAGGGGGTGGAGGGTGGGGATGGGGCATGGTGCTGAAAATGAGCATCAGCTGTAAGTCCGTATCCAGAACCATCAAACCCACCCCCACAGCAGCCAAATATTCAGTGTCCAGCAGAGGGAGGGGAGGGATTGAATCAGACTGTCAGTTCCTACCAAAAAAAACAAAAAACAAAAACAAATTATCATTCCCAGTGAAAAGCTTTGGACATTCTAACAGCAAAAGGAATAGCATTCCAACAATGACTCTTGAGGAAGTCCTGCTCTCCTACAGAGTTCCTATCAGCTTTTTATTGTTCTAAATTTAAATATGAATAAGATAAGCAAGGACCACCTGGTCAACTGGAAGGAAACAGATGAAGACAAACCCATCAGTTAAAATATCCAAAGAGAGGGGCGCCTGAGTGGCTCAGTCCGGTCCATCTGCCTTCGGCTCAGATCATGATCCCAGGGTCCTGGGATGGAGCCCCGCATGGGCGGGGGGGGGGGGGGGGGGTCCCTGCTCAGCGGGGAGTCTGCTTCTCCCTCTCCCTCTGCCTCTCTTCCCAGTTTGTGCTCTCTCTCAAATAAATAAATAAAATCTTTAAAAAAAATATCCAAAGAGAAAAATATTGGAAGAACAAAATACAACTTTAAAATAGTCTACTTAGTGTCTCCGGAGAGTCTAAAAGACATGACATCCTTAAAGATAGGAATAGATTGCTCTGAGGACAAAGAAAGAGCTCTGGGGTGGGGACAAGTTCGCTGAAAGAACTGGAAAATGAAGTCAAGGACTTTTCTCAGAAAATGGAAGCAATTGGCAGAGACAGAAAAAATGGCATCAAACAGGGAGCACCACATGAGCGATCCAGAAGGTCCGGTGTACAACCCTTAGAAGGACCAGAAAGAGGAAGTAGAGAGGAATGGAGAGAAGGAAATATTTTATTTCATTTTATTTTATTTTATTTTATTTTTAAAGATTTTATTTATGTATTTGACAGAGAGACACAGCGAGAGAGGGAACACAAGCAGGGGGAGTGGGAGAGGGAGAAGCAGGCTTCCCGCGGAGCAGGGAGCCCGATGCGGGGCTCGATCCCAGGACCCTGGGATCATGACCTGAGCCAAAGGCAGACGCTTAATGACTGAGCCACCCAGGCGTCCTAGGCAATATTTTACAAATCCAAAAGAACGTTCAAGAATTTGGACATGAGCCCCAGATGCAGAGGTCCAGCAGGTGTCTATCCTGAAGCATATCACCCAGACATTTCAGAACTGCAGGATCCGGAAACACTCCAAAGAAAAAGGTTGCCTCCAAAGGAGCAGGTGGCATCATGTTCCCATCACCCTGGACACTAGAAGGTGATGGGGGAAGTCTTCAGCACATGCGGGGGGGAAAATGATTTTCTCCTAAAATTCCAACCCCACCAAACCAACAATCAGGTATAAGGGAAGAATTAAGTCATTTAGACATAGAACTCAAAACCTGATCTCCTACCCATCATTTGGAAATGACTGGAAGATGGGTAGAAGCAAAATGAAGGCGTAAACAAGAAGTAGCTGTCGGTTCTCCGCAAAACTGAATCCAAGCAAAGAAGGCAGGGAAGGGAAGTGCCTGGGACACTGGCACCTGGCCCAGCAAGAGAGCAGCCTGTCCAGCCTGAAGCACAAGGATAAGGAGAGACTCTGAGGGGAAGGCTGGTTGGTGGAGAGGCAAGCAGAAACCCCAAACAGGGCATAATAGAGACAAAGAGTTCAAGAGGGAAAAGATGAGTAGAAGCTCCAGACAAAAAAGGGGGAAGGGGGAGGATGTACGAGAAAGGAAGGAGAATCACTATTTTCTGTTCTTTAAATTTTAGAGTCAACCTAGAGAGGAAACCCCCAAAAAAGGCTCGTTACGGGTACCAATAGAATGACCTTTTAAAGGTAAATACACGGATGACCGGAACCAAAACATAGGGATGATTTTCACAGCCCTACCTTACAAAGTACAGACTCAATAGCTACTGCCAGTATTTGGCAGAACCAGGAATAAGTTACTCAGGCAATCTACAGACAGAAGAACTAAAAATAGCACTACCCCCCGACCCAGACGAGTGGGGAGGGGGTGGGGGCGGCATAAGGGGGCTGAATCCTCACCCACCGAGACAGGACGTCAGTGCATGCCGCAGTAAGTTGAGAAATAACAGCAGGTGCGTGTTACTGAGAGGTGTGGCGGTAATGACCAGAAGAAACAGCCAGAGTCCAAAGGAGCAGGCTGCAGGGCGAAGGTGTGGGGCAGGGGACTGTGGCTTTTTATTATTAGCAGCTTCTCGATCCTACTTGATTTTTCCTGCCATGTGCAAGAGATGGTGAAGATACGGAGGTGATCGTCACCATCTCTGTTCGTTCTCCCCCTTTCCTCCGCTGGCCTCCTCTGTTTCCACCCAGCTCTCCTATATGTGCCCTGCCCACGTCCTGAGCCTGTGCAGGCTCACCCTCGGGGGCTCAGAGACGCCTGGGCACGAAGGGGCCTCCCAACCTCCGTTCCTGGGTGCAGCGCAGGCCTCCCTACCCCAGAAAGATGGGGAAGGGGTGGCAGGAGAGGCCCCAGGGTGACGTCCCAGACACCACCCCCCACCTGGTGGCAGGAACTGGCTCCAAAACCAAGAGACTCTAGAATGACTCCCTTCAAATAAATAATTTGTACAAGTATTAGTGACGATGCCTTTCATAATAAATCAGCACAGAGTAACTCCTCCTGCGTCTGCCATCGTCAGGGACCAAGGTCTTCTCCACGTGGGAATTTTCCGGCTGACTGGTTTCTACCAGTGTTTGGAGCAATTTTGGATCAGAATCATTCCCAGATGAATCACACCCCTCCCTGTCTCCTCAGAATGCCGGCTGACATTCTTACGCCTTAAGGGCCTCACAGCCCAGCCGCGCAGCCCCCTCCACACACAGATGGCGACTTAACCTTTCCCCGATGACTCAGAGTCTCCACTGGGAGCAGCGCTCATGGCCCCGGGCCAGAGCACAGTGAGGCCCGCAGGTACCCGGATGATGCTAGGACCATTCGAGTCCAAGGCTGGCCTCCGGGATCTCTGATGTCAGCCCTGGAGGTCCCACCCAGCTTCAGCTTGCAGGCCCAGGAAAGGAGCCGCCAGCCTCATGCCTGTGCCCCGGAAAGAGCCTCCGCCTTTCCTCTCCTCTCACAGCCCCAGGGCCACCAGGGCCCAGGCTCCCAGGGTGTGGGGACCACGCAGAGGTGAAGGACACAGGGCGGTGCAAGGCCCAGGCGTCACCAGCTGGGACAGCTGCTCAGCTCAGGAGAACTAGAGCGGGTGCCGCAAGGCAGAGAGGAGAGCTCAAGCCTAACGCGCAGAGCACCAAACACGTGTCCCTGACGAGGGACAAAGGTGGGCACCGATCACGGGAAAGGTGAGGTGCCTCACCCACCCCACGATGTTGTGATGCAGGGCCTGGGTGGAAGCTGGGATAGGGACTGTTAGGGGCTGAATCGTCTCTCCCTCAAAACTCCTATGCTGCGATCCTAAGCTCTAAGATCTCAGAATGTGGCTCTTTGGAGACAAGGTCTTTAAGGAAGTGGTTAAGCTGAAATGAGGCCATTAGGGTGAGCCCGTATCCAGTATGACGGGTGTCCTTATTAGAAGAGGAAACGAGGACACAGGTACAGAAGGAAGTCCATGTGAAGACAGAGGGAGAAGGCGGCCATCGGCAAGCCACGCAGAGAGGCCTCCGCACCAACCCTGCCGGCACCTTGATCTCAGACTTCCCACCGCCAGAGCTGTGGGATCTACCAAAGTTCCACTGTTTCGGCCCCTGGCCTGTGGTGCTTGGTTATGGAGGCTCTCGCCAACTCACAGAGGGGCTAACGCAAACACAGAGGCAGTGCATGGCCAGAGGAATGGGAAGTCACCGAGAAGGATGGCCCACTTATGGGGACTCTCAGATCTTCGGGTCTAGACTCTGAGGTGACCATGAAGAAACTAGCTGCATTTTATAAATTTAAAACGAGTTTATTTACCTTGGAAGACACTAAGGTATGCTGTTAACAAGCAAGCCCTGCCTTTCCAGAATGGCACATTTAAGGGCCTGAGGTCTTTGAATTCCGGGAAAAGACAAAGGATCTCTGCTCAGGAGCTGATAAATTTGGCTCGTGCCTGAGGTCCGGACGGCCATGTTTGCCACTAAATCCCAACTCCTCACCGATCACATCACACACACGCCACTGCCACCTGCTTAAAGCCTTCCCACGGGTTCCCGCGGCCCTCAGACAGTGACAGAATCTGAATCCCGGTCCGCACAGCATGGCCTCACCAGGTCGGGCCCCCGTCTGCCCCTTCAGCAACATGGCTCCTGTGCCCCCCCCCAACACTGGCATTCAAGCTGCCCTGACCCTTCAGAGCGGGGACACGGCAGGCTTCTTCCCGGCACAGGGCCTTTGCACAGACTGTTCCCTCAGTCTGGAACCTTCTGGAACCTGGCCTACTTCCCTCCTACCTCCCTTCCAACAGGAGCACCAGGATCCCTTCCTCAGAGAAGCTTTGCCTGACAACACCCTCCCCGCCCCAGCCCAAGTCCAGTTCCCTGCCATCCCCTTGTGTCCCTAGGGTACGTAGGTCTCACTGGGCTGTGAGCTCCATGAGGGCGGGGACCACGGTGCACTGTGTGTGCTCAGCGCAGGGCTGGGTGGGTCGATGGGAGGGTGACCTGCCTCCCGTGTTTACCTCTAGAGAGGGTACGGAGCCCTTTGGTTAGTTCAGGGACCATAACGCAGCTAGCCCCAGCTGGATGCGTCCTGGGAGCTTCCCTGCAGCTACTAAACTTCTGGATTCTGAATGACAGCCCCGAAAACCTGCTGCAGCTACTGCCCCTGGGGGTGGGTCCAGCAGGGGAAGAAAAGGGAGGGAGGCATATGAACACTGACAGAGCACCTATTATGTGTGCTACTGTGGGCATGGACTGCAGGGCTATCTGCTCTCACATACCTTATTTCAACTAGTCTTGTGGTGACCCATAAGAGCTAGGTAATAGTGTCCCAATTTTTATAGGTAAGGAAAGGCTCAGAGAGGTTAAGTAATTTGTATAAAGATGCAGAGCTGTTAAGATCCCAGGTCTGCCAGCCCCCAGGCCCATGCTCCGTCTATGACCCACACTGCATGGCAATCGTGTCAAATGGCAAAAGGCGCAGCGGCTCCTGCCTGGGGGCCACAGACCGTGATCCCAGGATCGTGTCGGGGGCCCATGAGTCCACAAGCGCCCCCAAAACCACCTGAGTCTGAATAAACTATAGTCCTTCCACATCCAGATAGGACTGTTTTCAAATACATATGAATTTTACTTGAAACCAAATGCCATGATGAGCACAACAACATTCCTCTCAGCGGGTGATGAATTCGTGGTGGTCCCATGTGGGAGAGAAGGCTGGCGGAAGCTCCCACTCACTGAAATGTGCAGCGTGTACTGTGCTTTTTCTCCCATAGGTTGTAAAAGAGCCGTAGGTGGTGTACTGTTGAGTGAGGAGCAGAAAGTACAGTTCTTTTGTGATTTGTGAAAAAAATAAATAAATAAAGCACATCGTGCACAGGTGCTGGTTGATGCAGACTCTCTGGGGAGATGCACAAGGACACCGGGGGTGCCTCCGAGGACCGAGGGGCTGTGAGGGGGATTTTCACTATACGCCTTTTTGTACCACTCGAATGCTGTATCATTTAAATAATTAAAAAGTTTTTAATCTAATGACTATAAAATGTTGAAAAGGCAATAGCAAGAGGGCACTGCTTAACCCTCCACTCGGAGTCCTGAATTTCAGGTAAGATGCTCCCGTGCTCTCTTTGGCTTCCGTACAGGAGGACCCCAGGCACAATGTCTTGGAGACTGGTAACTGAGACAGGGACTGAATCCCCTGAGTCACCAGGGGTGACCTTGCAAACCTGGCCTTTTTTCATAGAATGCACAATTATCCCTGCTCTCCAAATGCCAGAGGCCCGGGGAAAGGAGATCTTATTCTCGCTCTGTGGGGTCCATGCCCCCACTGCCCACCTCCCCCCCACCCCCGGGGTCCTGCCCCATCCCACGTGCCCACCACCCACCCTGGCCACACTCACATGGACAGCACCTTCACTTCCAAGATTTCGTGCCTCAGCTCCAGGCATCTCGTGGAGTTATACTCAAACGGGCCCTCGTAAAATTCAAAGTACCTGGGAACCAACAGGGACAGAGGTTACTACGCGAAGAAGCCGGCCAGACTTTGCAGGGGGGGGGACTGTGGGGCTCTTGGTGGGGGCGGGTCGGTCCTGGTCAAGTTAACAGAGCACACCAGCCCCACCCCAGCAGATGGTGGGGCCCCCAGGACTGCTGGGGCCCTCTGGCTTGATCACTGGGTGGTTGATTACTCCCAGCACTCCACTACCCCAGGAGTGTAAGCCTTTACAAGGCATGAACTCATCTCAGCAAATCATGACATTCAGAAGCAGGTTTGGTTCCAAATTAGTGGCTGCAGAGAGAAGGGCAGGGGAGGATGCCCCGGGCACGGTCTCATTCTTGAGCTTCTGTGTGAGGCAGCACTTTCAACGCTTTCCTGCCCCTTTCTCCTCCCCTTGGGACAAGAGCACAGTTAAGATCTGCTGCTTTTTCTACGAGTCAGTAGCTCACTTGACCCTCGTGCTCCTGCTGTGCCTAAGTGAGGCTGACACTTCTTTCTCCCCATTTGGCAGCTGAGAAAGCTGAGGCTAAAGGAGACGGAGCTCAGGTCCCATGAGCAGCAGGACCAGGCCGAGCTTGAGCTGCGTCCCACCGCAGGGGGGCCCAAGCCCTTCCCAACACCGGCTGGCTCCACGCATGCCAGAGCCACCTCAGGGTCCCTTCGGCAGCTCCACGCAGAATCCACTTCCAGCCAGTGCTTGCTGAGCCCCTACCTCGGGCCAAGTGCTTGCTGTGGACGCATCCACTTTTCATCTTTAGAACTAGCCTACAAGGTAAGTGATCAGCATGAGCATCTGGAATGAGCTCTGGAGCTCTGGAGCTCACTCACTCGCCCAGAGCCACGTAGATGGTGGATGGCAAAGCTGGGACATGAGCCTGCACATTGACTCGAGGCTACTCTTGTCCACTCACCTATAAGGACAGCTGGTGTCCCCTGAAAAGGGCCCTGTGGCCTCCCACAGCCACTGGGTGAGGAGACCTTTAAAGCTGACCCCTCTCACACCTGAAGTTCCCACCAGCCCAGAGAGGGAAGAGTACCTGCCTGAGGGCTGGTGGGTGGAGGGTTCCCACAGACATAAAACATAGCTGTTCACTGCTGAGCTCAGCCACGGAGGCAGGATGGGGCCTGTCCTCGCAGCCTCTCTCTCTGGAGGTTGCTCAGAAAAGGCTGGGGGATTGGAACCTGGACTGCTCAACACCAGAGAATCCAGAAGCCTGCAGGGTTGAGCCACTCTAAATGTGGGGTCAGCGTCCTGGTGACAGGTGGCTCTGGCGAATCAGAAGTGGGAGTGGTGCCCCAGGGCTGCTCCTGGGCCCTGTGGGCCGTGACTGAGGATTTAAAATAAAATCATTCCTCGAGCATCTCCCAGAAACCTTCCCGACACATGGGGGTGGTTACTTCCCATGTGTTCTCACATGCCTCAGTTCTGTGTCATGGATGTGCTGCTTTACACACAGAAAGGCGTTTGACCCAATAAAGTGGCTTCTTCTTAAAATACCTGTATTTAAATAACTTCTGTAGATAGTATCATATTTAACTCTTTAAATTATATATTTTAAAATATTTGTTCTTAATCTTCATATAATTTAATGGTTAAGTGTTAGTTATATTTTTCAGTACTTTTAAGTAATATTTTTAAATATTAAAACATTTTATACAATAAATTGGCTCCTATTGACAAAATGAAATTGGCTCCTTGTTTTCATGTCATGAAAGAATTGAAGCAGAATTCCTAAGAACTAGGCATTGTGGATTCCCAAAATATCACACTCACCTTTTTCTGTTGCCCCGTGTTTTGGAACTCCTTTGTCTGTCTTTCTCACCTGGCAAACCCAAATTGATCCTTCAGTACCCAGCTCAAATGCCCCCACTTCTGCGAAGCCTTCTCTGACCCTCACTCCTGGGGTCCCTCTTACTTTGTCTCTTAATTAAAAGCAAATATAACATTTTTTTAATCAACATATAATGCATTATTTGTTTCAGGGGTACAGGTCTGTGATTCAACAGTCTTACATAATTCACAGCGCTCACCATAGCACATACCCTCCCCAGTGTCCATCCCCCAGCCACCCCATCCCTCCCAACCCCTCCACTCCAGCAACCCTCAGTTTGTTTCCTGAGATTAAGAGTCTCTTATGGTTTGTCTCCCTCTCCGGTTTCGTCTTGTTTCATTTTTCCCTCCCTTCCCCTATGATCCTCTGTCTTGTTTCTCAAATTCCTCACTATCAGTGAGATCATATGATACTTGTCTTTGATTTACTTATTTCACTTAGCATAATACCCTCTAGTTCCATCCACGTCGTTAATTAGAGCAAATAACATTGTATTTTAACAGTCTGTTTATGTATCTGTTTTCCCTTCCAAACGGTGATGTGAATATCTCAAACACCGGGACTCTGTCTGTGTTACCTCTGTACATTTTGTACTACAGATGCTGGCAAGCTAAAAACTACATTTCCCAGACTCCCTTGCAGCTAGGGTGCAGATGCAATTTAGGTTCAACCAGTCAGAAGCGTTTACATGAGACTGATTCAGAGCTGTGTTGTAGGGTTATAGGTAAAGAATGACGAGGCTCCAGCCACTGTTTTGCTGGTGCCGAATGTGGCAGAAGTGGCATGGCTCTTGGAAACTGCAGTGGTAGCAGTACCCTCATGATTATATTTCTATGTAAATATATAACAATTATTATATGTTTATTATTATATATTATATATAAACTGCAGTGGCACCACACCCTATTATATTTATATATAAATATATTATATTTATTATTATATATTATTTATTATTATCATATATTATATTCTTTCCCCTAAATAAATCCCTTTCTGCTTTCACTAGCTCAATGGATTCAGTTACCTACAATTAAGAACAAGGGATCAGCATGAGGCCACCAGAAAAATCCATGACCTTGGCTGTAACTCACATCATTTTCCAGTCACACAACAATAACTGAGGTCTGGTGTCTTAGCACAAAGATCATTTGCAACCAGAGCCATTGGCACTAAGTCCTTTGGAATCAACTGGGTCATGTGAATCCATGATCTCAGGCTGCTACAAAGAAAAGCTCCAGATTCATATGGTGCAGGAGTTATTTAGGAGAGACTTACCCCAGTGGTCTCAGGGGGCTGGGAGTCTTGCAGACACATCTTTGTTATGCCGCTAAGCCAGCTGTGTGACTTTGGTCAATCGCTTGCCTGCTCTGGGCCTCTTCTTTCTCCTCCTTAAAATAATCTGTTTGAACTACGTGATAGCCAAGGGCCCAGGCAGCACTACAGTATGATCTCTCAGTGTTTCCCACTCACTAACCAAGCCAGAATATGACTGTGGATGGATGATCCACAAAGACGAGGAAGAAACTCGCAAAGACCAGGCAGCACTCCCCTGCCATCAGCCAGCCCCTCCAATGTCTCCATAAGGCCCTCCCCGCCTTACCTCCGGCAGCCTCCACTCGGTCTCCCTCTCTCCTGAAACCCCAACCTCACCCATACAGGGAACTGGGAGGTACAGTGATTCCAAATGCTCTTGTGCCGTGTGTTTGGTGGCTATTCGGTGGACAGGCTTTCAGAACGGGGTCATAGTCCTTCCCTGCCCCCCATAAGCCACCCTAGGCCCATCACTTTTGTGAGCCTTACTTTCTTCATCTGTAAAATCCACACACAAAAAAAGTGCAGTCCATGTGTGACAGGGTGGAGAGAAGACATTGATGAGAAATTTGGGGAAAGTCCCAGGACAGTGCCCGGCACACAGCAAGTGCCCAAGAAATGTTCACTCCTTTCTTGCTCCTTTCTCCTGCCACTAAAGGGCAAGAGTTGCCCGAGAGTCAGTGATTGCTTATGGCTCCTCGGCTGGCTGATGGCAGAGCTGGGTCAGGCACAAGTACCCTCAGGAAGTTTCTCTGCCATCTGGATCAGCTGGCATCCTTCTTCCACGGCTACCAGTAAACCCCTCCCCGCCACCCTGCAGCTAGAGCCCGTGCTGCGTTCTGCTTGGACGCGGGGATGTCCCTGATCACCTGTCTCTGCTGCAGACTCCATGGATAAACTGTGTGTCTGAAGCTTTAACATCCGGGCCTTGTTGACCCTGGGGAGACTGTCCCTCCCAGGGCTAGCCAATTCCTTGAGATAGTAACCACCTGTGAGCACCTTTCTTATGCAAACAAACCAATCCAGAGCTCACAACCCCCCCACCACCACCTCCCACGGTGGGGGGGCCTCTTTCCCCCTGCCCTGATCATCCCAGGGCCAGGTACCAGACAACTAGGGGCAGCCTTTATGCCCCGGAGCCCAGTGAAATTATTCAGACTGATGACTCCCAAGCCTGTGTACCTGTCTCACCTGTTTCTTCCACAGTAGAGGCTCTTGCCCACTTTTTCCCATCACTCCCTCTGCTCCTGACCCCCCCGCCCCGGCCTCCGGTGCTCCCCTATGGTGTGGCGTGCCTCCTGTCTCTGGGCATCTGTGGGTATAAAACCCTCTTCCTTCCTGGCAATGACTCCCATGTCTGTGTGTCTCACAAGGCACGACTATGACAAAGCCCAGCCACCCTGAAAACACTCCACGTGGTACCCCAGGCAAGCCATCAAAACCATGCCCTGCCTAGGGCGAAAGCCCTCGTTTTCCCAGCTGAAAATGGAGCTAATAGCTCTTGCTGACATCCCCATCCGACCCGGGCTCTGCTCCTCTGGGCTGCCCTGCTCCGTCCCAGTCTCTGAAGATAATCTAACTTGGGGAAATGAGATTGTAACAAGCGCCGCCAAGCGTGCCCCCGCGTTCCGCTTCTGAAAGGACACCTGCGTCCTGCATTCTGGGAAAAGCCGTGGTAATCCTTGTTTGGCCTGGACACAGACTTCTATGCAGATATCAAAAATGAGGCTTCCAGTTTCTTTCTGGAATGACATGGGAAGATGCTCGCATGACATAACTTGCTGAGTGGAAAATGCAAGTTACAACACTGTGATCTCCCAAAGGAATGGGACATACATGTGTGAATGCC